TGCAGTGAGGAATGCTCTGATCTTTATATTGGAGAAACAAATCAACCTCTACACAGACATATGACCCAACACAGAACAGTGACCTCCTCAGGACAACATTCATTACCTTATGGACAAAGAACATTATTTTGAGGGCCAGAATGTTCACATTTTGGAAAAAGAAAATAGCTGGTTTAAGACGGGCTTGAAGGAAGCCATCTATGCAAAGAAAGAAAACCACAGAGGGGGTGGACTCAGATTTCAGCTTTCAAAAACCTAAAGTGCAGCAATTGAGTTTATCCCTCCCCGCTATCATAGCAGCCCCAACACCTGTACAGGAGAGCAGAGGACCTCGCCTATTCAGTCAGGCCAACAATTCTCTTTAACGACCCCTCTTTCAGACATTTAGACAGTTATGGGGCATTGCAGGCTCACAAAAGAAACCAAACTACCTCCATTCCAATGGGGTGGACCCGTTCATCCCTTTCAATTTGCATGTTTTCAAAACAAAAACATGGTTTTGATGGGCTGCTGATTAAAACCTTGAACTCAATGCCATTCCTGACATTTTGAATTGAAAAAGCTTCCTGGATGGGAAGTGAAATGTCTTCAAACTTGAAAACAAAGTCCAGTGGATTGTTTTTAATTTTCTGTTTTTGGAAGGGGTCACTTGTGTTCCAGCAGTGAAGCTCTTTTTCCTTTGGAATTTACCTTTTGGAATTAGTGTGCCTCTCTAGATGACCCCTAAAGCCCTTTAAATGCATCAACTGAAATTAAATCTTCCAGCTGACTGTCAGAAATAGGGGAGTAAGTGAACGCCATGCTTCTGTCTGTGCATGATTCTATTTGATTTCTCCAAACCACAAAGGAGTTATTCTTAACGGTCCCCTGCTAGACAAAGTTACATCTGAAGCTACTTTACCATCTCCCTGTATCAGTGGGGATATGTTCCTTTTGTCTGCCTTTGTCTTCTCAAACCCCCAGTAAATCCCTGGGGGTCCCACTAACCCTGGTGCTGCTTCCGGTATCTTCCGGTCAAAACTACGCTCTTCTTCTCCACTGTCGCCATGTGCATGCTGGTGTAAAAAGCTCCAAAGTCAATGACACTATCCCAACGAAATCTCCCCTGTGCTATAAGCTCATCCAGGAAGAGCGAACCCTGCAGTCATTCACTCGATACAATTAGCTGGGTTCGTTTAGATAAAAACCTTTAACCAATCTGTCTCAATGATCTGATTGAATCAACTCTGTAAAGTGCCTTAAGATTACCTGTTTTAAATTGGCCCATTAAGCAACGACAGAAGCAACGACAGAAGCAACGACAGAAGCAACGAC